CCAGCCCCAGCCCCAGCCCCAGCCCGGGCGCCCCCCTGCCGCAGAGTAAAAAGCACGCACCGAGCCAATGGCGCCTGCCGAAGCCTGCGCGTAGGCAGGCAGCTCTTGCGCCGCAGCAGCCGACATTTTGGCCTTCTCTCTCGAACGAGAGAGAGAGAGAGAGAGAGTCTCGCGGCGGCGTGTGGGAGAAGGAGGGTAAGGTGAGAGCCTCCTTGTGCGAGCTGAGGAGCAAGGCAGAGGAAGAGAGAGAGAGAGAAGCGATGTGTGGGGGGGGGGGGGGGCGAACGCGCAAAAGTGGGCTTGGCTCTTCCCTTCGATGCCAGCCGGGCAACGCCTTGCGTGCGCGGTGTGTGTGCGGGTGAGAGAGAGTGGAGAGTGGCAGATGGGTGAGTGGTGGTTGTGAGGGCAGAAGCTGCGCACGCTCTGTCCGCCTCTCTCTGTCTCGCCTCCCTCTCTCTCTCTCCGCACCCTGAGCGCAGCTGCGATTGCCCCAGCCCCGGTTGAATGCCCACCCCCGCAACGCGGCAGCGGGCGCCGCCGCAGCCGCAGGTGCAGGTGCAGAGCGGCAGCATCTCCGGCATCGAACGGCCCGGCGCGCGGCGGCTGTGAGAGCGGCATGCCCGCCCAATCTGGCGCCGCGCTGCGAGATGACGTGAGGCGCGGGCGCGCCCCTCGCCGCAAAGGTGCTCCCACGCACGCGCCATCCTTGTTTGCGACTTTCTCGCGCGCGAGACGAAGCTCGGCGCGGCTTGCGCGCCAAAAGTAGGGCATTCATTCGAGCTGCGCTCTTCTTTGCCCTCTCCAACTTGCCCTTTTCCCCTTGCTGCTCATCGCGCCATGTCCTTCTCCGCGCTCCTTGGCGCCATGCAGCGCGCCGGCGGGTCGCTGCACTCGGCGATCGCGCGCGAGCTCGGCGACGATGCACGCACCGGTGCCGGGCTCTTCTGCGCCTCGTCGGCGGGCATTCGCAAAGGAGACGCGGTGCTGCAAGTGCCGCTGCGCTGTGTGCTGAGCCGCGAGCGGGCGAGCAGGGAACTGCGACGGCTGGCGGGCGGAGAGGAAGAGAGGGCAGAGGGGGAGGTGGATGCGCTACTGCTCTACCTCGTCGTCGCAAGACTGGCAATGCAGAGACGAGAGGATGGGTGAGTGTGTCTCTCTCTCTCTTGTGTGTGCTTTTCTCTGCGCTCGAGGCGTGGACGTGCAAAAGGGGGGGGGAAAAGAGCAGGTGCAAGTTAGCGGGCCCAGCTGGCGCGGGGGCAAAGCCGGGCAAGGAAAAATTAGTCTTGGGGCTTGAGGGCCAAGTTGCAGAGGCTTAGAGCGGGTGGGGAGAATGTGGGGAGCAAAGAGACTGGGGTCCGGGTGTGTTTGCGGGGCCTGTCTTCGCATGTGCGGACATGGCGCACGAGAGGGCGAGGGTACAAACACTGGGGCGCGAAGCCGAGGTCAGAGAGGCGCCAGAGATTCGAAGCGCACACGCTTTGGGGCCTCCTCAGAAACCCCCAAGCGCTGCTGTTTGCTGGTGGGCGATCTACCGGTGCGCGCCAACGCCTCCAAAAAGCCGCCAGGTGCCGCTCTGGGACATCCCGATCAGCATGATGGCATGAAAAAGCAGTAAGATCTGCCTTCCTGGCATCCCACTTGCCCCCCGCTCGTTATGCTGCTCTTGCACTCCATTCTGCGCTCTTGGCAGCACACACTGACACCCCCCCCCCCCTTCCCCGCGCGGTCATCTCTCTGTGCTCTCCAGCTTTCTCCCTCCCCATCTGCACGCCTACATCGCCCTCCTGCCGCGCACGCATCTCCTGCCGCTCTTCTTCTGTCCCGCCGAACTCGCGCTGCTGCTCGGCACGCCGCTGCTCGCCTTTGCGCGCGCGCAGCAGGCCGAGGCGAAGCGCGATGCCGCGAGGGCACAGACGTGGATTGAGAGATGCCTCGGATGGCACATCGAGCAGCAGCAGATGCTGCAGTTGTGGAGCTGGGCGAAGGCCACTTATTCTTCGTACGTTTCTCTCTCTCTCTCTCTCTCTCTCTCTCTCTCTCTCTCTCTCTCTCTCTCTCTCTCCGCTTCCATCACCCCTTCCATCCATCTTTCCTCTGCTCTTTCTGTGCTTTGCGCTGCCCAAGAGCCCCCTTCCCTCCCGCCCCCGCTCCTAGCTTACGCCGTTTTGCCCCCATTGCGTTCCTTTTGCAAACAAAACCCACACACAGAAGAGCCTTCCCGCCCTCTCTGGCCGGCCTCGACGACGCTGCAGGGCCCATTTTGATTCCGCTCATGGACGCGGGCAATCATCGCAGAGGCGCGCAGGTGACGTGGAGCTGCGTGGCTGGCAACGACGACACCAACAACAGCACCACCACGACGACGACGGCGGCGGCGGCGGGAGAAGTAGAGACAGAGGAGAAGAAGGAGAGATTTGTGCAGTGGACCATCGAGGAAGAGGTCTTGCCTGGACAGCAGGTGTGCAACAACTACGGAGCGAAGAGCAATGAGGTGAGGTGTTTTCTTCATTCCCCCCCCCACCCCCTCCCCTTCCATCCCTTGATCTGCTACATGACGGGGCTCTTCGCTCTTCGGGGGCCTGTAAAGTTGACTCATCGTTCCATCACACCGAACACCGAACAGGAGTTTCTAGCTTCATACGGCTTTGTCGATGCGACGGCCTGCGGAGTGGATGATGTGCTGTCGCTACGACTGGGCGGCGCCAGCAGCAGCAGCAGCAGCAGCAGCAGCAGTGGCGCAGCGCAGTCGGCCGTGGCGAGCGCTGCAGAGTCAAGGGCGCAAGCGCAGCCGCAAGCACAGCCGCAAGCGCAGCCGCAGACACATTACTGGCGCATCGAGTCTGCTGCGCCTGCCTCGCTGCTTTCCGAACTGCACGCCTCGCTCGGGCACGCCTCCTGCTCCTCGGCCGCGCCTGGGGGCGACGGCGCCGCCGCGCGCGGCGCACTGCAAGAGCGCGGCGAGGTCATGGAGCTGCTCGAGGCGCTGCTCTGCGCGCGCCGCCAGAGCTTCAAGCGCGCCGAGCGGGAGATGGACTGGGGCGCGGCCGAGGTCAGGGCGCAAGTGGCGGCGATGGTGCGGGTGTATCGAAAAGGTGAGCG